CCCGCCACAACGCCCGGCCACTTTTTGGTTGCAGCTGTCATTGTTGTTTGGCGGGCCCGGGCTGGATTCAAACCTGCCAGCTCAGGTGTATGTGGCTGGTGCCTTAGCCACTTGAGCCATAGGCACCGAGCCTTTTTTTTTTCTTGAGACCAAGTCTCACTCTGTCACCCTGGGTAGAGTGCTGTGCTGTCATAGCTCACAGCAACCTACGACTCCTAGGTTCAAGCAGTCCTCTTGCCTCAACTTCCTGAGTATCTGGGACTATGGGCCCCACCACCATCCCTGAAGGATTTCTTCTATTTTTAGTAGAGACAGAGTCTCATTCTTGCTCAGGCTGGTCTTGAACTCACGAGTTCAAGACATCCTCCTGCTTCAGCTTCCCAGAGTGGAGGATTACAGGCGTGAGTCATCTCACCCAGCCTCATTTCTTCTTTTCAAGCTGTTACAATATTCCTCTAGGTTCCTTTGCATGACTGCATTTGGATGAGCCATTATTCAGCCAGGCCCCTGTTGTTGAGTATGGAAATTACTTGTGGTTTGTTCACTTTTATAAGCAGTGCTCTCTGAGTACTTGTAGCTGCATATTTGAGAACAGCCATGAGTAATTGTCCTAGGACTTGCTGTGTCCAGGGCAGGCTGTTGGATGAGCTTTTGGCAGGAGTGGCTATTTCCTGCACCTGGACGAGGTGGACTGTGTACATTGTCAGAGTGGCAAAACCCAGCTTAGGAGTTTCTCTTCCACCTCAGAGGACATCTGAGCAATGAGAACAGAGCCCAGGCACACCAGCTAGGGCTGAAAAGACCAAGTTGTTCCTGTGTCATCATAACTGCACCAGATGTCCTCCGAGCGCCAGTTGAGGTCAGGCCCTGTGTAGGATTAGGAGAGTGAGACCAGCTTTTTCCAGGGCCCCATGTGAGCTCCAGAGGCGTGTTCATGCCCTCAGAAGCCCCTGTTCCTCACGATGCCCTAATGCCAGCTTCTACGTGCTGTATTAGTGTGCAGATGGTGCCCCGGCATTGGGGGGTTGACAGCCATATGCTGTGGCTTCATGCTCCTGCCCTCACTAGAACTCAGAGGACTCACCACCTAGGGGAGGAAGCACAACCTGGGTAGAGCATGACCTGTTCGGAGCCCGGGCACCAGGAGAGATGTGTGTCCACAGTCTGGGGAGGGCCTAGGGCACAAGAAAGCAATCTGCTTGGCAGCACAGGAGGGACCCCAAGCAGGCAGGTGGGGCCCCACGGTGATCGGCAGGTCCCTGCACTGACCCTGCTCCCTGTGTCACATGCAGCCCTGACCCCTGAGCATGCAACTGCAGGTATTTGGAGCATAGGCTCCAAAGCACAATACTTCTGGGGCTTAATCCTGGCCCTGACCCTGGGTAGGTTGCTAATCACTCAGAACCTCAATTTCCTCACCTGTAAGGTACAGTCTACTTCACAGAGCTGTACGAATTAAGTGAATGGGATCTTTAAATAAACAGCACAGGCTGGCACAGTGCTGTGAGAGTGTTAGAGGCTGCCATCACCATCATTGTCGTCAGCATCATCTCTTTTCTGCCTTATTCCTTAGCACCTAGAACAGCACCTGGCCCAGAGCACCACGCAGTGAATCGTTACCGATGGTAGAGCAAAGGGACTTTTCTAAAGCATGTTTATATCAATAATTCTTCAGCTTGATCAGCTGAAAACCCACTCTTTTTTTTTTTTTTTTTTTGGAGACTTGAGTCTCGCTTTGTCGCCCTCTGTAGGGTGCTGTGGCATCATAACTCTCACCAACCTCAAATTCTTGAGCTCAAGTGATCCTCTTGCCTCAGGCTCCCAAGCTGCTGGGACTACAGCCACAATGCCTGGCTAATTTTTAGAGACAGGGTCTTGCTCTTGCTCAGGCTGGTCTCAAATTCCTGAGCTCAGACAATTCCCGCCTCAGCCTCCCAGAGTGCCAGGATCACAGGTGTAAGCCACCGCGCCAGGCCTGGAAATGCCCTCTAGAAGTTGAAGGTGTGCTTTGCAGCCTGCACCTAGAAGGCAGCCAAGCTTCGTAGGAGAAGGAAGTGGCTACATAAAGCTGGCTGTCACACCAGACAGAGGATGTCCCTCCTAGAGGTAGTGGCAGAATGTGCTGCCAGGTCGCAGAAGCTCAGGTTCAGATGCTCTCCTTGACCAGATGGTGATATCAGGCAGGTCAGCTCCCTTCTCTGAGATCATTCCCAGTGGTAAATAGGGGACAGTGACAGGTCATACCTTCCTTGTTTCAGCAGTGTGAGCAGTGAGCTGACACGTGGGTGGGAAGGATCTTTGTAAAATACTTAGTGCTGTCCACTCGCTCAGAGGCACACATTCACAATCCCTTTGTCCTTACAGTTTTATTTACCAGTTTGCAACTAACATTGTTTGCTTTGTTCTCGGCAGGCAGAGTTAGAAGCCAAAAGTGAAACCAAACAGGAGAATTACTGGCTGATTCAGTATCAACGGCTGTTAAACCAGAAGCCCTTATCCTTGAAGCTGCAAGTAAGGACAGGGGTGCCTGCCCCGGCTGCAGAGCCCATGGGGCCTCCTTCCAGAGGTGCCCATGGTGCCTCTGCTGTGCCTTGCCAATCTGTCTCTCAAGTTTAACTCAATTCATCTTTCTGGTAACATGAACATGGCAGGTCCTGTGCCAGGCCAAAGTGGGGACAGAAATGAAAGTAAGGGAGCATTCCTTGGGTAAGGGGGAGACAAGGTGCTGGTCACTGCTGTCCAGGGGAAGCAAAGCCCATGCATAGGTGGGCAGGGGCAGCTGTCTGCAAGAACAGGACAGATGCAGTCCCCCAGCAGACACACGTTTTTATCTTTTGAGACAGTCTCACCATGTCGCCCTGGGTAGAGTGCTGTGGCATCATAGCTTACAGCAACCTCGAACTCCTGGGCTTGGAATCCTCTTGCCTCAGCCTCCCCAGTAGCTGGGACTACAGGTGCCCATGAAGACACCTGGCTAGTCTTTCTATTTTTAGTAGAGATGGGGTCTTATTCTTGCTCAGGCTGGTTTCAAACTCCAGAGCTCAACTGATCTACTCACCTCTGCCTCTCAAAGTCCTAGGATTACAGGTGTGAGCCACTGCGCCCGGCTTTATATAAACCATTTTAGCAACTTGCTTTTTCCTTTCAGCAGCGGTGAGAGAAAGTTCTCCAGCTGCACGCAGATCTCCCCCCCTCAACACATTGCCAGATGGCTGCATGATGTTCGGTGTGGGGGTAAACCTGGTTTATGTAACAGTCCCCTCTTGGTGAATACTTAAGCTGCTTTGTTTTGTTTTGTTTTGTTTTAAGAGACAGAGTGGCTCTGTCTCCCAGGCTAGAAGAGGTGGCATTGTCATAGCTCACTATAACCTCAGACTCCTAGGCTCAAGAGATCTTCCTCTCCCAACCTCCTGAGTAGCTGGGATGACAGGCATGTCGCCATGCCTGGCTAATTAAAAACAATTTGGGCGGCTCGGCGCCTGTGGCTCAAGCGGCTAAGGCGTCAGCCACATACACCTAAGGTGGCGGGTTCAAATCTCCAGCCCAGGTACGCCAAACAACAATGACAGCTGCAACCAAAAAATGGCCAGGCGTTGTGGTGGGCGCCTGTAGTCCCAGCTACTTGGGAGGCTGAGGCAGGAGACTCACTTGAGCCCAGGAGTTGGAG